TTGGAAAAGTGGGGGTCGTCTTGTACATGGGGGCGTCTTATTGATGGAAAAATACGGTAATCAGTTCTAAAATTATGCCTTTTTTATAGTTTCCTCGCTCTGCCTTTCTCTCTTTTTTGAAGATAGAAATAATATTTGTCTGTCTCCACTATTCTTGCACTTTATTTGTTCTACAAGAAGATTTGTTAAAGGTTAGAAACAGTGTCTCTGAAAGTACACCTGCAAGCTCTTTCAGCACCCTGAAACAGCTATTTTACTTTTCCAGTTGTTTCACAATGGAACAGCTGTGCATACTTGAAGTTGGTAACTTAAAATGACAATTTAAATCTAGCAATTATTTCAGGCAGAAAGTATGAGAAGGTGAAAACTTTGATTGGTATAATATTCTTAAGGAAACCAAGCAGCATTTCAGAAGTAAGTTTGCATAGGCCTACTTCACAATAAACTGACGTGATGAGCATACAGTATTAATATGTTGTGTAAAGACACAAATTGTCTTAATATTGCAGATAAAAGTTGTCCATGGAAAGAGAAGTTGTGAGAGAAGAATGATAGGATTTTTGCAACCAGGCCATATGAAACTGAACACAGACAATTAATTATATTTTAGAGAGAAGCTTTGTGTATTTTTTAGGATTAGATAAAAAAGTATGTGGTAAATACATAGTATGTTTTAATACTGCAGCAGATTTGATCAACCCAGACAGAATAAATGTACTATGAATGCTTAAAGATACTAGGTATGAGGTAACTGTTGGGTAAATCCAATATTTATGCTCTTATTTTAAAAATACAAAGTAAATTTTGCAGTGTATAATGTTTAATTATGCTTTGTAAAGCTTTGTCTTTATTAATAAATAATTAAAATGACTGGTAAATATAATCTCTGTATTTTTGGAACTGAAGAGTGTAATATAATAGTATAACAATTCCTTCCAGAATTGCTTAGAGATACACGAGGAGGTAGTGTTGAATCTGTTGTCAAGCTGCATGTGAGACTTGACCTCAGAGAAAATTGTTTGTATCCCAGATAATTGGGTTAGCAGCCAATTATTGTTCTGAATCACACACTTTCTCCAAGGAAACATAGTAATATTTTAAGCACTCAGCAACTTAAAAGAGTGGGTGGGATTTATTGTTAAGAAAAGATTTGGTTTGTTCCCCCCCCCCAACCTTTCTTTCCTTTTCACTTTATTCCATGTACATTCCACCCTCTCCTGAGGCTGAAAAGTATAGGACTAGAACATGAAACCTGTATCCATTATGTATTCTTTTTTATGTTGATTACAGCAACTTTATTCCAGAAGAAAGCCTGAGGAGAGCCAAGCAGATCGGCTTCTCAGATAAGCAGATTGGGAACTGTCTGGGACTGAGTGAAGCTCAGAGCAGGGAAATAAGAATCAAGAAGAACGTAACACCCTGGGTGAAACAGGTATAAATACATATCCTTTAGCTGCTGCTGCTATAGTTGCTATTTTGGTGTAAACACTGAAAATAGAAACTGGAAGTCTGTACATTTGATAATCATGGACATTGTTAATTTTCCATCTCTCAAGAACTACATTCCTATCTGCAGATAAGAAAACGAGATCCTGGTTGCACAGGGCATATCCATATTGCCAGGTTGCCCTGCTGTGAGTACATGCCATCAACCATTTCTGGAGAGCAGGAATGGAGGGTATCATCCTCTACTCATCTCCAGCATACTGAATGCAATGTCCACTGGTGTTTTCCTGCTTTGCATTTAAAGTTGTGTTTTCCGGCTTCTGGCAGCTCAAGTGTTGCTGTTCAATTTATCTTCTTCAAGGCCAACCCCTGTGCTTTGATTGCCTATTGGACACTGTGCCAGAAACACCCCTCACTAGGTCAATGGTTGCCAACTTTGCAGCTCTGTAATCTCTGCTGAAGCTACTCTTACCAATGATGTTCTGTAGCATAGTGGTTATAATATTTGGTCGACATTCAGAGGGGTCACTAGTTTGAAATTTGCCAGAAATGATATTAGTGTTGGTCACACAGTCAACCAGTTGTTGAGGCATTTGGCATTTTTATCCACCTATCAAGTCCTTCTCAAAGACCTGGGATAGGCAGATGTTGTTGTTTGATGAGGTTAAAGGTATCGTCGCAGGATATAAGCTGTTCCAAGTAAAGCTGACTTTTGCAATTGACTGATGGTGATTTTGTCAGTGTCGATGGTGCTCAAGTGGTGCTTGTGTTCATTCTTCTTCAGAAACAAAAATTGAGCTAATTTCTTACATCCTCAGAGGCTGATTCTCCTTTGTAGTGCTTCTTGGTAATTTCAGAAGATTCTGCAAATGAGAATCAGCCTTTGGATCTGGGAGCACATGAGACATTTTATGATTTTATGATCATATGATCTATGGTTATCTTTTCAAAAGCAAGTAGACCCTTCTCGCTTCTACCCTTTTTCTATCAAGTACAAGAAAGGATAAGAATTACAAGTCTATCTCCTATCTTGTGTCTTATCAGGCCAGACATGGCCTGATATGACATGCTAAGCCTCAAATGTAGCATTTCTTTAATCACTCTCAGACCTAAAGTAACAGATCTGCTAATAACCCTTACACATTTTTATTTTCATTTAATTTCACAAGAGGGACTGATTTGCCTGAGGAATCCCTCACTCTTAAATAGGATTTAAACTTCTGTATCAACGCACCCCACTGTCTATGGTTAGTGAGACTGAAGTTCAGATCAGTTCAGCTGCAGGTGTTTGTTTTTTGTAAACCAAATTGAAATTCTCCTTTGCATAGCGTTAAATTACATTTAAAATAACAAATCTATCAACTGCTTACAGTCCTGTGCCCTTTTTCCTGGTAGAAACATTCATCAGCTAACTCCTGCTTCAATTCTTTCTGGGTTCTTCCTTGCCATATAAAGTTTTGATTCCTCTCCTTCTTTAATAAGGGTCACATTTCATCCTTAGCCATGTAAACACTTGCCTATAATTCTTTAAAGCTGCTTCTACCACAAGCAACTATTTTACTTCAACATTTCCTGATTAGTCAGGCCCAGCCCAGGTGTTCATAATCAGTTTTCCTTAGTACTAGTAGTGGCCCACTGACTTGTTAATCTATGATTTCACTAAATCTGTTTGTCTAGAAATATTTAGGTTAAAAGAGAAAAACAAAGGTCTTATAGGCAGGGATATACAGTGGAACCTCGGTTTACGAACTTAATTCGTTCCGTGACTCTGGTCGCACCCCGAATTAGTCGCAACCCAAAGGAAATTTCCCCATAAGGTTCAATGTAATTACTGTTAATCCGTTCTGGCGTGGAG